ATTCCTAGCCTCTGACCTGCTTTTGTAACCATTGTATTGATGTGGCAAGTCCAGTTAAATTTCTCGTCAATGGTAACTCCTAAGGTTGTTGATAGTGGGGCATTCAGTGGTGGTAACACCATTGAATGTCAAGGGAAACTGGTTAAATTGTCTCTTGTTGAAGAGGGCGTAGCCTGGTACTTGTGTGACCTGAATGTTACTTGCCACTTGTCAGCCCAAGCCTGGATATTGTCCAGATCTTGTTGCATTTGAACATGAACTTCTTCAGTACCTGAAGAGTCGCAAACGGTGCTGAACATTGTGCAATCGTTGGCGAACATCCTTACATCTGACCTTAAGGCAGAGGGAAGGTCACTGATGAAGCAGCTGAAGATGGTTGGGCCGAGGGCACGCCTGTAGAAATGTCCTGGAGCTGAGATGACTGACCTCCAACAGCCTCAATCATATTTGTGTGTGTCAGGTGTGGCTCCAACACCCTCTGCTGAAGTACTCAATTCAATAAAATAAAAGGGGCCACAACTGCCAGGAAACCTCTCTACAGGAAATCCAGTGGCTGCAGCTGTGGCTCTCACAGACCCCATTGGTTTTGCAGGTCAGACACCTGCTTGACTCGACCCTCACTGGAGGTCCCAACCTCAAGTGGCACAATCCCAGCACTGACCCAATTCTGTTAAAACTGTTAAGCCATTTCTCCACCTTGAGCACTTGTTGCAGCCAAGTGAGCAATATCAGCCAAGAAGGACCTGCCCTCGAGAGGAATGTCAGAAGTGCTGGCCCCTGTTCTGTCCTTATATATTTTACATACCTACTCGCGTCAGTTCCACAAACGTCCACTGCTGTCTCCTCATGTTCACCACTCTCTCCTTGTGTTCACCCGTCTCCCCTCATGTTCACCAGTCTCTCCTCGCATTCACCAGTTTCTTCCTGTATCCAATGTTCTCTCCTCTTATCCAGTTGCAACATGGCTGAGAGAATTTATCCTGAAGCAGCACACGTGAGCTTTCTAAGTTGATTATGATCATATTTATATCATGGCTGATCTGTATCTCAACTCCATTTATGCACCTCTGTTCCATGGTCCTTTGATACTTTAATTAACAAATCTATCCAGCTCTGTTTTGAAAATATCCCTTGATCCTCTGGCACCAGGAGCCTTCTTGCAGGAGAGAGTACTGGATTCCTACTGCAATTTGTATGAAAGAAAGTTCCCTGTTTTCGTTCTTAAATAGATTAGTTAGAATGTTAACAACCTGTCTCTGAAATTCAGTTCCCTCACCTGGAGAAATAGTTTTTCCTGCATTTTTGTCTCAGGTCTCACCAGGTCTCAGATAGTCACATACCAAAGTCTTTCTGACACCACCTGATTCTGCAATCAAATCAGGAAAGACCTGTCTACATTCATTTGTAGCTTACTGTTTTTATTATCATTTATATCGTTAATATAAATTGCGAAAAGCTGTGGGCCCAGCAGTAATCTTTGTGTGACCCAATGTCCCATTTTCTGTCATTCTGAACAACCTACATTTGACTTCACGTTTAGCTCTGTATCTTTTGGCTAACTGGCTGTTCATTCAGCTACTTGTTGTCACAGTCCACATGCTTTGATTTTTTTTAGCCTGTTACATGGTACCTTATTGAAGAACATTTGGAAATCTAGTTATATTGCATCTACTGCCTTATCCTTGTCTCTCATTTCTTTGTTACACTTTCAAAAAAAAAGAGGTTGGTGATATTGACTATTCAGTCATTATTACATTGTTGGCTTCTAGATGTTTTTCTAATCTCCTGTTTGCTAGGGATTCCACTATTTTTTCTATTCCTGATGTTAAACTAACTGGTCTTTAATTCCCTGGACTAGTTTCTTAAATATAGGTATAACATTAACTATCCTGCCGTCTTATGGCACTTCATTTTTAAAAATAATTAGTATTATATAACAGAATAATAGTGTCTATAACTTGTGAAATTCATGCATATCATGTGTTTTGAATTTATTATTGATGCAAATAAGAAAATCTAATGTTTTCATAATGAAATCAAGTAGAACATTTTAATATTTTAATTCCAGTATGTCATCTTGGTGAAGAGGAGAATTTGAGTCCCAGATGATTTTAATGTTCTGGAACATTGTAGGTTGGGTCTGCAAGTTGCCATGGTAGTAGGGTGACTCAGGAACCAGCTGTCGATGATGTTAAATAAGTGTGCCCAGTTGCCTAGGAATCCAGCACTGGTTTGTATTTACACAGGACAGTGCATTGGATAATAGAGATTCTGATTAATGGTTTACTGAGAGCCTGTTAGAAACAGATCCATTTGGCAAATCAAATTATTCTCTTGTCATTTCCATTGGCAAGGCATCTTGAACTGGTTCTGCTAAATCAAATAGGGCGAGGACTTTCCAAACCACAGGACACTCTGTCTGGTTTCCATATCCTAGTGCTGTATTTGCAGGAGGATCTGATTAAGTAGAATATGTGCTAATGGCAAATGTGTAATCAGTTGCTGATTAATATTAACTTCCTGATTGCCATTGTGCAATGCAGCCTTTCCGCTGTTGTATCAAACCCAAACAAACTAACAGACAGTCATACAGCACATGCATATTAAGTGTACAAGTGTACAGACACGTGCACAGGGAGACGACATAGTTGCCGGAAGCTGCTTCTGATGTGGAGGTACTGGGGTGGACAAGGTCAGAAATCACATGACACCAGGTTATAGTCCAACAGGTTTATTTGAAAACAAACCTGTTGGACTATAACCTGGTGTCGTGTGATTTCTGACCTTGAAGCTGCTTCTGGCATGCTCACTTGCACTTTTCATTGAACCATTATGTCTTCACATTCAGTGGCATTACTATCACTGAATTGCCCATTATCAACATCTTGGGGGTAACTATTTACCAGAAACAGAACTGGACAAGTCATATAGGTACTGTGAGTACAAATCCAGGCTAGAGTTTAGAAATCCTACAGTGAATAATTCACTTTCAGTATATTTTTAATCTGTAAGAGAAAAGGCAGGAAAGTGGAATTAAGAATTCCTGGCTCACAGTGACAGCAATATGTACCATCTACAAGATGGACTGAAGTATCTCACCAAGGCTCCAAGGACAAACCTGTGACCTCTACCACTTAGAAAGACAAAGGCAGCAAATACATGGGAAAACCACCATTTGAAAATTTCCCTCAAAGCCACTCTCCATTCTGATTTAGAAATATATCGTGGTTCCTTCACTGTCAATGAGCAAAAACCCTGGAACTTCCTTCCTAACAGGAACTCTATGTGTACCTACACCCCATGGGCTGCAGTTGTTAAGAAGGCAATTTACTACCATTTTCTCATGGGTAGTTTGGGATGGGCAATTAGTATTGACCCAACCAGCGACTCCCATATCTTGTGAATGAAAAATTTAAAAAGAAAATTCACAATGTAATCACTGGAGTTCATTCCTGAACATCCGTGGTTGAGGGTGCTAAAGAATTGGTGACAGGAATCTGGCAGAGTTTCTCTCGGCTCACCTGCAGCTCCTTCTCGCCTCCAGCCTGGCCCCAGGGAGCCTTTAAAAGCCCCTGATCAAAGACCACACCCGTGGTGTTTGTTGGATGGACAGGAGGTAGGCAATCTGGCACCGCTGTTTCCAACTGCACCTGTTCTGACAGAATGGATCCTAGGAGAGCTCAGCTCCCAGGCACCACTCCACTCATCAACATTTCTGCATTCATACAGCAATCATTCAGCTTGGAGCCAGCAGTAAAACAGAGGGAAGGAATTTCAGTGAAAAGACAGAGCCAAGACTAAGCAATCAGTTCCCCCGAGCACTTGTGTAAAGTGCTAGAGAGAGGCACATTGCCTACTACAAGCTGGCACCTTTGATCCACTGTACCCATTTATAGAGGCAGATCCCTCCATCTTCATATTTATTTCCTTTCATTTCAGGAGTAATACTGCCTGACAGGAATTTTATTTAGACCCCAGAACAACACATAGAAAATAGAATTTAAGCGTCTTCAATGTGAGTTTTATAATTTCTCTTCGTCTTGGTTTGAAATGAATTCTTACGTAGTACACAAAATCCTTGTACACAAAGGTTAATGTCAGAACAGGCAGTCTCCCTACCCTCCCTGGTAGATTACCACCCTTATCTGCAGCATAGCGCGTCTAAGTCAAGAAGTCTTTTATCTTGTGCTCTAGAGTATCTTAGGCTGTCGATGACTGTGAATGAACTGTCTCCGGGGACGATGGCTCCTTATCTCTAAGTAAGGCTGTTATGTACAGTAAAACTTATTTGCTTACTTTTGTATATTGCAGGTTAGTAAATATAGCTCTCTAATGTCTAAGACTTCATTCTTTTCATCTGATGTTTTATTACTTAACTGATGTCAGAATCATTATCAGTTAGATTGTCATCATTTACATAAATCCCATTATTCTAAAGAGTATATTAACTCACATTATACTAACAGTGACCCAGCTCAAGGCCTTTTGCACCCTAGGTCTGTTAACTAACACTGCATGGTCAAAGGTTCATGGAGGACAAATCTCAGCGTGATCTCAATAATGGCAGCCTACAGCTGAAACTCTACATGCACAAGTATGTAGTCCCGTTACCTATCACTACACAATACATCACTAGCCTGAATATTAAAGGGGCCATACAGCACAGAAGAGGCTATTTCGCTCATCATGCCTGTGGCTCATTAAAGAAAAAAACCAATTAATCCCACTCCTCATCTCTTTTCCCATAGCTTTTCTATGTTTTCTTTTCAAACCTAAACCAAATTCCCTTTTGACAATTACTATTAAATCTGATCCACCAGCCTTCCAGGCAGTGCATTCCAGATCAGAACAACTCATCATATAAAAGCAACTCTCCACATCTCCCTGCTGGTTCTTTTGCCAATTATCTTAAAGATGCAACTTATATCTGCAATTGAAAGAGAAAGAAATGGTGTCCCCTAATCCCTCAATTCTGGATCTAATTAAAATACAAAGCTCACATTTTTGATTCTACTTCAGAAGGGTTACTGCGACCCTCAGAGGGTTTCAGCAATTTGTGGACTCCAACACCCCCGACTTCACACTGGAATGCAGATTGATCATTTGCCTCAGTATGTGTTCTTTCCACATTGAACAAAAGCCAGAGGAATGATAATACAATCCAAACCTCCGCCATCCCGTAACCTTCAACGAGCTAAGTGATGAGATTCATGTTGGCCGGGACTGTTGATTACAATCGAGTGCATGTACACAGAATGAACTGGCCCTTTTCCTCGACTCAAATTCTAAAGCAATATTTTTGATGCTGTTTTCAGCACTGATGCCATTATGTTTATCATGTCAATAGTTAGAATCATTCACTCTGATTCTTTTGACCCAGTGTAAGGTTATTTAAGGTGATTGGCAAAGATCTGGGAAAAAATGAGGAGAATTCTTTTTGACACAGTGAGTTATTGTGATCTGGAATGTGTTGTCTGAAAGTAGTGGAAGCAGATTTAATGCTAACTTTCAGGGAATTTGGTAAGTACTTGGAGGGAAATTGTTTTGGGCCTCTGGCGAATGAGCATGAGAGTGGAACTAAATGACTATCTTTCATAGAGCTGGGCAGGCAGAATAAGCTGATTGGTCTCCTGTGCTGTTTCATTCTTTAATCTTATGATTAGAGCTTCTTATGCAGATGCATTATTCAATGAATTGAAGACATGATCGAGTGGCACATTGAAGTATGAATGAGGCACATGGGCAAAGGAATTTTAAATAGGATTGGAGTCAAGTTATCAACCCCACCCCTGGTCTGAGTCTTTTCCCCAGGGTGGAAATGTCAAAACTGGGGGGTTTAGGTTTAAGGTGACAGGGATAAAGTTTAAAGGAGATGTGTGAGCAAAGGTTTTTACACAAAGGTTAGTAGGTGCCTAGAACGTGCTGCCAGGGGAGGTGGTAGAAGCAGATGCTATAGCAATGATTAAGTGGCATTTAGACAGACACAAGAACAGGCAGGGAACAGAGGGATATTGACCATGTGCAGGCAGATGGGGCAGTTTAGAATGGAGTCGTGGTTGTCACAGATATGGTGGGCCGAAGGGCCTGTTTTCTGTGCTGTACTGTTGTATGATATATACTTATATCAAGCCTTTAATGACTTCAGCAGGTTGTAAAGCACCATACAGCCATTGGAATGCTTTGTGAAGTTGTTTACGGTTGTGTGGCTGCCAATTTGTGAAGCGCAAGCTCCCGACGCATAGCAATGAGCTAAAGGATTAGCTTATCTCTTTTCATCATGCTGGTTGGAGGCTAAATATTGGCCAGGATTGGGACACTGAGAGAAGGACACACATCTTCTTCAAATAATGCTGCAGGATCTTTTATACCCACCTCAAAGGACTATGTGGGTCATCTGGTGTCTCATCAGAAAGTTAGATATTATTATGAGCTGATTATGAAACAATGACCACTGTAATATAGCATAGATTGAAGCTTGGCTGGTTATTTCAAATGGAGCTAACAGCCCTACTCCAAAATGTAGAATGGTACAATCTATTATCACCAACTGATCACCATTATTAGAGTGTATTTTGAAGGTTCTTTGAATCATTGGATCCTTTTGCACTCAGCTAAACCCAACTGCCATTGCTTGACACAAGCTGAAATGATGGATTCAAACCTCTGACACATGTGAACCAACATGTCATTCCTTCATAAAATCAAAATAACCTCAGCGACACGGAAGGAAACTCAATTGTAAATGCCTTTTACGACCTTTGGATATCCCAAAGCACAGCTAGTAACATCTCTTTTGCAATGTAGTTGCTGTCATGATGTAGGAAACATGACAGCCAATTTACACACAGGCTCCCACAATCAGCTATGGAATAAATGACCAGACAGTCTGTTTTAGGAATATTGGTTGAAACTTAAATATTAATCAGGACTCTCCTGCTCATTCTTAAGTAATACTGTCGTAATTGTAATGAGGTCAGCCAGGAGGATCTCATGGAAGAGATAACAAGGTGTAGAGCTGGATGAACACAGCAGGCCAAGCAGCATCAGAGGAGCAGGAAGGCTGACGTTTCGGGCCTAGACCCTTCTTCAGAAATGAAGTTTCTGAAAAGAAAAGAATATGAGTTCCCTGATTGGGGCTGTTAGTCTGATCCAATCAGGGAGCCCTGACTGACAGATAAGAGCAAAAGTGTCAGGCATCCTGTTCACTCTGAGACCTGGCTCAGAGAGAGCTGAATCAGTAACAAGGACTGTCCACGTGTAAATAAAGGTTGACGATGACAGGATACCGGCCTCTGTGGAGTTATTTTAATATGATGGGATCTTTAGCACCCATCTTAGAAAGCAGTTTCCATGGAGGCATTCCTGACAGTGCCACACAACAGTGTCAATCGAGATTAGAGACTCAAGTCTGTGGAAAGGAGCATAGCATTCTGATTCAGACAAAAAGGCTACTCTCAAGCACACCATAAAGGACAGCATTCCAAACTCCAACCTCTTCTCAACAGAGAGAATAAACAAAAGAAAAGCCATAAGTACTCAATAAGAAGCATTTTGAAGTATATGTCCAATGCATTTGTTATTCTGTTGCTGTGCAACCCAAAGCTGAAGGTATTAAATGTAATGATATGTTAGTGATGAGTAATCTGTAAATATGTCATCACTTTAATTTATGTTTGGAATCCACCCTTAGGGTTGCTACATCTAAGATACTTCTGGTGTCTCAAAGAATGCATGGAATGGGATGAGGCCATTTTCTTGGCTTGTCAAGCTGGTTCAGGTTTGCTGGTTGGTGCTGCAGGCAGCTATTGCACTCCACCCCACCATCAGAGTTTGTACAGGCTTGTGCCTATTCATTGAACCTTCTATGCTTTGTAATTTTATCCTGTCTACTCCCAAAGCAGACACAGGCAATGATGGTAATGCTCTCTTTAACCCAGTGCTTCCCATTTTTTCCCTTTGTGATCCTACGTTGGGTCTTGTTCCAACTCCTGTCAGTGAGAACTGCAGAAGTCAGGTAGGGGCTATGAGAATAGGAGCTTGTTAGGATGGGAGCACAATTGCTATTACTTAGTTGCTATGCCATAGCTGCCTCAGAGCTTTTGATTTCACTTGGGGTCCCAACCCTAATGTTGGAATGCACTGCTCCACTCTGTCACAAAAATATGTTTCACCTTACATCTAAGGAGCTCATTCCCTTCCTCTGCAAATGTGTCAGCTCTACTACACACAGCAGTCCCAGCCTGATATTGCTGTGTGATGTTGCCAGATTAGTCCCTTATGATAGTATCAGAGATAGTAGGAACTGCAGATGCTGGAGAATCTGAGATAACAAGGTGTAGAGCTGGATGAACACAGCAGGCCAAGCAGCATCATAGGAGCAGGAAGGCTGATGTTTCGGGCCTAAAATCTGTTCAAAGGAAAAGACAGGACATAGAGCACAAACCTCCGCCGTAAAAATTACCACAAAATAGAATAGATGCTGACTTCTAGCACTGAGGATCTGCCTCTGAATTTGACCCATACTATTCAAGTGAAAGGCTTTTTTATCTAATGGTTGCATAAGGGTGTCTGTAAGTGATGGTGGTACGCACCAGATCAAATTCCCACTGCATTCAAGCTCATGGCCAACATTAATGTCTAGTTTGGTAAAAGAGCCTTCTCACCGGCAGAGGTCAGTAGTGTGATAATGTGGGCAGTGAAAAGCTTGTAATGTTGGAGTTTAGGGGGCAATATTTTGAAATTGGGGTTCAGGCAGGGGTTCCAATGCTGGACTGATTTTTAATCACAAAGGTTTTTTTCAAATGAATGCTCTTTCCAAATCCACGCTGTCAAGGTGGAAGTGCTTTGGAATGTGGAATTTTCCTTGGAGGCATTTCCAAATGGATTGATAATGCATTCTGGTCAGTGGTGGTTTACTGTACAGGAGCAAATAAACGTTGACTAGATAGACCCCACCAGGACACTATGGTCAGAAATCCCCACAAAAGTTAATGCAGATCTGCAAAACCTGCCTTTTCTTTCCCCAGCAGGATTGTGAGAAAGTAAAGACAGCTCATTTCTCTACTGATGAATTATCCAGCGCAATGACCAAATCAAACCCTCGTCCTGCCCCCTGTGCTCCAAACAACATTGTGATAATGGCAGTAAGCAGTAACTCTGAAGTTCAGAGGGTAAGGATGATCTCCAGCCCAGAATTCCTGATTCCCACTCAAGGAGACATAACTGATAACTCATTCTGACCCACTCTCACATAATTCCAGCTATGCACATTGGATCAAGATAACAGACTTACTTTTCATCAGTAAGATATCAATGGATAACACGCAATGTGTTACAGTAGTCATGCTCCTAACCTTTACCTTATGACTTTAATTGGAAATCTGTGTGTGTGAGTGAGTGTGAGTGTATGTGTGCTCATGTGTGGTACATACCCATTAAACTATACTCCAACAAGAGTCAGTGTCCATTCAATAAAAGCATAAGTGCTCCATCTAATAAGTGTAAGTCTTCATGGAACTATATCCAAGATGCAAAACCCATGGGTCTCTACCTCAGAGAAAGATGCCCAATCAAATCAAACTGCAGTTGAATGTAAACTTGCATTTATATGATACCAAGATGTCTCAAAGTGTTTTGTAGCCAACTGAATACTTCTGAAGAGATAGTAGGAACTGCAGATGCTGAAGAATCTGAGAATAACAAGGTGTAGAGCTGGATGAACACAGCAGGCCAAGCAGCATCAGAGGAGCAGGAA